TTGTCGTATTTGTCAGGGAAATCAGGGAAATGTCTGGGAATTTTTTTTTTCCAAAAATTGCTGGAGACCCTGTAATAGTTTGTCCATCAGTTTCTCCTTTAATCTATAGGAACCACCCATTTCAACCCTATATTAGTTTGTCCATCAGTTTCTCCCTTAATCTATAGGAACCACCCATTTCAACCAATAGGATCGCTTTATACTCCCTATGTCCTCTTTGTCTATCGATAGACAAAGCATGTGGTAGACACAGCGATTTGTTTTTGTCTACCATTTTCACTAATCAGCCCGCTGTAGCTGTAGTTTTCCGGCGTGAGCTAACCTTGATACGCGGATGCTGTCGCGGTTACACAACCGCCAAGACAGCGTTCGCACGCATATGCACATGCACCTGGCACACTGCACTACTGCAGATCGCACCCATGCCAGGTAGAGCCCGATCGATCAGCGTTCCGGATAGGGACACTGCCGTGTTAGGTAAAAACGACGTATGAGAATTCCACCGTTGCCTTTCCTCTCAGAAAATATTTGTCTTCGATGAAAGTTGTGAATATTCTCCCTCGATAATTTCTTACACTTCCAATCAAAATAGAGGCGGATCCAGCAATTTGACAACGCCGAATCCATTCCATTTAAACCTATGTTAAATGATCGATTCTTGTTGGATTCTGCATTAAAATAGGTTTTATTTTGACCAAAATTAGTTGAAGATGAGAGGTGAACGCGATTTGACTGCCGTAGTGCATCACCTCCATTATTTTCCCGCCATTTGGGTGCGTTTGAAATTCCTTCGAGTCTTTCGACTTTTTAAAAGCGGGCTCGTCTGGGATATTGGCTAGAAAAATACGCATTAAATCACCACGTAATCTGCTCACCTGGTTCTTTCAGAATATTAAATAAAAATCATAAGGTGTGATGACCAGTTCCCTGGAGAATCGGAATGAAAATACTTACGAACTCTCCCGAAAATGCATAATTTTCCATACACTAGAAGAAAAAAAACACATTGGATCTAGAGTCCAGATTCTTGAAAACATTGACAAGAAAAAATACTCTTTATTCAATCGAATTTTTGCCTGAATCAAAAGGAAATCCGCTCAAATTAAGAGGCGTGGTTCTTGATTTAAGTAAAAATCCGATTGAATCAAGAGTATTTTTTCTTGTCGATGTTTTTAAGAGTCTGGACTCTAGATCCAATGTGTTTTTTTCCAGTGTAGGAGATTTGACAATGTCTGAAGGCTCATACGGCGTTTTGTAGCACAGGTGCCGGCTAGCCGTCGGGTGCGTCGCGGCTAGTGGCGACTTGCGAAGCGTTAATGATAGCCTATCGATTTTTTCCCATTTAAGACTATGACAATTAATCGATAATCAAGGTGTTCATTGCGAACGCCCTATTTATCGATACTTTTACATAGGTTTAAACGGCGGACCAATCGATGTATCGCCCGTTGCTGGAGCCGGGAACGGACGACGCACCGTTTCGCACGCTCCAATATCCGCGCGTCGCCCGTCGCACTCGCGCGCCGACCGCGGGAACACTGCCGTCCTGAGGAAAAACACCGTGTGAGCCTTCAGGCGTTGCCAAATTTCCTCTGACAAATCGCTAATTTACAGGAAAATTTGCGGATATTTTCCCGCCAATTTCTCGGATAATTTTGTTTGTAATTTGGTCTACAGTGTCTGAAATTTTCATTTTCCTCAAAAATAAACATTTAATCCGAGGAAATTTGGCAACTCTCGAATGTCCATACGGCGTTTTTCCTTAGCACGGCAGAACACGGGTTCGCCCGAAGATCGCTCCGATTGATGGCGTATAAATCAATCGCCGAGACGTTTGGAACTACTCGCCCGCATGGACTACCGCGCCAGACCTAGCCCCGGGTTCGCGGGATACGTATGGGCGCCGTTTGGCAGGAGACGCAACGTAACGCCGGGTAGACCGGACCCCCCTTTGATTTTCGGGGTCGCCCATAAATTGAATCGGGACGTGCGAAAACCGCTAATGTCCATTTTTCCAGACTTGAGTTTTTTTGAGTGGATAATACGTTTAAAGAGTTGATACAACCATAAAAGTGAGGAAAAGACTAGTTTTGGGATTTAGGAAACCTGAAGATGAGTTTTAACGCCTTTTTCGCGGTTCCCACCAACTCCGAAAAGTATTGAGAACTCAAAAAAACTTAAGACTGGAAAAATGGACATTAGCGGTTTTCGCACGTCCCGATTCAATTACGTCTTGCTCAAATTCGAAGATAGACTTCCGTCTTCTTCGTCACTCATCCTTTCGTTAGTCTGTGCCCCCCCCCCCCCGCCNAAAAATCCGTCATGCTTTAAGGGATTTACCTAACCTTTTCAAGTAAAAACTCGATCTTTTTGCAGGGGTGCAGAAAATGCTCGATTACACGCCCGCCCGGGCTTGTGAAAATGTGGAAGGAGGGAAAATCTTGAAGGGGCAATAGTCGAGAATCGAGGGAAAAGTTCCTTACTTTTGAAATTTGTGGGAAATTTTGTGGAAAACGGATGCGAAACATGTGGAAAACTTGCGGGCACTGCCCGGACAGGCGTATGAAAACGTGGAGGCTTGGAATATTCTGATTCCTTGTATTTTTGGTCGAAATTTGTCCGGATTTCTCGAGAAAAATTTAATTTGAAGCCGCCGAGAAATGTAAGGTTTCTCCTTCTTCCTCCCCCTTCCCTGCAGCCACGCGAACTCAGATTCAGGGAGAACTTCTCGAACTTCTCAAAAACTTTTTGACCTCGCGACCAGGCGGGTCATTATCCAACGTTGCCGAAAACTTTCCCGATTTCGTTCCCGGCAGCTTATCAGTTCCCGGCAACTTTTCTGTCCCCGGCAACTTTCCCGATTCCGGCAATTTTTCTGTTCCCGGCAACTTTCCCGATCCCGGCAACTTTCCCGTTACTGCTCCGATTCCTTTCCTAGGAATCTTCCCGATCCCGTTCCCCGCTTCTGAACAGATTCCGTTCCCGGCACTCGACTTTCCCAGGAAACATCGATCCCTGGCCTCCCGTATTCCCGCGAATCGACGAGCGACCCGAATGACGAAAACGCAGTGCGTGCCTGGCATCGATTCATTTCGCCGCGGCGCACAGTGGATCGAGTCCATAGGAGAGGTCGGACGAAATTTGAAAACTTTAAATGCTCACAGCTAAGTCTATACGAAACTTTGAGGTTCTCGAAATGGTTCCATCGGTTTCCTCTTGAAATTGTCTTCTAGTAGCATCCCTTGAACTTTAAAATGTGACGAAATAAACATCAAAATGGAGATGTTGCATGTGTGAGGAATTTGCGATTTGACCATCGATTTTTATGTAAAAGTTCGCGAGAAACACGATGGTGCCACTAGTTTTCTCTGAAAGCAACTCCCAAGCTCAAAAGAAGCTCTCAAGTTGAGGCCAAAATGGAGGGGGTATCCCACGCTTTCCTGAGAGTCCACCACTACATCAAGACAAACTCTCCATGCAAAGATAGGGAGCAAATACATACATTGACAGGGCTGCCACTTTATTTGGGGACTCCAAAACTTAAAACACGGCAACCTTGCTAACGTATTTGCTCCCTATCTTTGTATGGAGAGTTTGTCTTGGTGTAGAGGTGGACTCTCAGGATAGCGTGGGATATCCCCTCCATTTTGGCCTCAACTTGAGAGCTTTTTTTGAGCTTGGGAGTTGATTTCAGAGAAAACCAGTGGCTTCATCGTGTTTCTCGCGAACTTTTACATAAGAATCTTCAGTCAAATCGCAAATTCCTCACACATGCAACATCTCCCTACGAATTTTTTGTCAAAAACGTCATGTCCGACCTCTCAAACTGACTCGAGCCACAGTGCGACGCGGTCGTTCATTAGCGCGCCTCGTTGTCGCGGCCGCCGACGGTGAGGATCGCGAGATGACGTCTCACTCGCAATCGCGATTCGCGGCTTCCAATTCGCGCGAGTCGCGTTGCTTCAGGCCCCCGAGCAGATGCGCCCCGGCCGGCGACCGGATTCCCACATTTGCGCGTCTCGCCGTCGGACGAGGGGCTCGCATTCCGGCGGCCCGGTCTGGGACCTGCGTGTGCCCGCGGAATTCTCTCACGCGATTGCCGAATCATACTGCTCCGAATTCATCGTCGACCGGAGAGATACTTTTCGACGGTGTCTCGTGTATTAGAGAAAGGAAAAGCATGGCAAAAATTATAGACGAATCAAATCTGATGCAAATTGCAAAAGCTGCACGGAGAAAAAAACTTCGTGCATGGGACCCGAAGTTGAGGTCATATGGATCTCTGAAGTTTTCTGATCACGCATCCGAAAACTTGAGGTCCAACTGCCGAAGTTTGGGTCAGACATCGAGGCACCTCGGTATGTACCGGAGTACTTCGGATGTGTGACCCGAATCTTTCGGTATGTATTGAAGTACTTCAGAGGTCTGACTCGAACTTCGGCAGCTGGACCTCTAGTTTTTAGATACGTGATCCGAATACTTCAGAGATCCGTGAACTCAACTTCGGGTCCCACGCACGAAGTTTTTCTCTCCGTGTGTGGTCAAATGTATACAAGGTATCTAGCGACCGGGAAAACTGGGAAAACCAGGAAATGTCAGCGAATTTTTTTGGGTGCCAGGGAACTCAGGGAACTCAGGGAAAATGTCAGGGAATCCGAAAAAATTCGACATGTCAGGGAATTTTTATTTTGCAAGCGATTTTCGTTTCAGTGAAACGTCAGGGTAATCGAAAAACACGGATTTTCCTGGGAGATGATTTCAGAGAAAACCAGTGGCACCATCGTGTTTCTGGCAAACTTTTACATAAGAATCAACAGTCAAATCGCAAATTCCTCACACATGCAACATCTCCATTCCCATCCATTCTTAATCTTACGACCCTCGACTAACGAGCACACCTCTTCTTTCCCCCATGTCTCTGGTTCCGTTTGGCAGAAATACGTCCAAATTTCTGTTAGAGTGATATGGTATTAATGATGGATTCGTGTGTAATGTTTCAGAGAACCTGACGCCGGTGGAGTACAAGAAGCTGAAGCTGAAGCAGAAGCGGGCGAGGAAGAAGGCCGAGAAGGAGAAGAAGGAGGCGGAGGCGGCGGCGGCGGAGAAGAAGGAGGCGGAGGCCCCGCAGCAGCAGCAGCAGCAGCGCCCAAGGAAGCCCGGCAGACACGCCGCCGCCGACGTCGAGCAGGACGCCCCCAAGCTCGAGAAACTCGTCCCCGAAAAACTAGCCAAGGTAACTAGTTATCCGCCGTTCACGGCCCGGGGAAGGGTCCCGGGAAACCGGGGACCATCAGCGAGAACTAGAGTACCTGTATAGCGAGAGTATGGACAGATCGCTTCATGGAGGGCTTAGGGCCCAAAAGTGCAGCCACCCTTCTAACCAACTTCTAACGCACAAAATTTCACTGCCAGTCTGTAGATTCCAATTCTAACCAAGATGGCTAAAAAAGTACATAAATGAGCGTTCCTCCACAGAAATGAGTAAATTTTATGCAAAAACTAAGTCAAATACGTGCTTTATGAACGATGGTTCGTAACAATTGTATTAATAAATCGCACTGGATAATTGAAATTCATAGGTTGGCTGCATGTCTGGGCCCTAACTTTATTCGCGGAGGCATCGTGAAGGCCTGATGGATTTTCGGAGTTTCACATCTGTCTATACTCTCGCTATACAGGTACTCTAGCGAGAACAGGGTGTCTCCAATTTCGGAATTTCTGGGAAGTCCGGAAATAGTACTGATTTTTTAAGGGCGGTCCGGAAGCACTGAAGAAGTGCGGAATTTCCGCAAGAAGGTCCGGAATTTTTTCATTTTTGTCGCAATTTGAGCGAGAGATTAACAATTTTAAAAATTTCCAAACGCCGAATGGAGGTACTGAAATATTACTGAATTTTTCTGTTGAGAAGGTACTAAATTTCTTGGGAGTTCACTGAAAAAGTACTGATTTTTTTGCCAGCCTGTTCTAGCAGACACCCTGGAGAACAGAATGAAAAGCTCCTGACAAGTCTGTCCTACCCAAGTGTTTCCCCTCTCTTGAATGAAAATTGAAAAATCAGGGAGTTTCGAAATCCAAGGAAACCTGTCACCCTGTGATAGCATGGATTCTAGACTTGAGAAACTCGTCCTCGGCGCTCACGATCCGGGAAAGGGTCCGGGAAACCGGGGTCCATCAACTAGAACAGAATGAAAAGCTCATGAAAAGTCTGTCCCACCCAAGTGCAGGGTGTCTCCAAGCCCGGAATTTCCAGAAAGTCCGGAAATAATACTTTTTTCGGGCGGTCTGGAAGTATTGAAAAAGTGCGGAATTCCGCAAGAAGGTCCGGAATTTTTTTTATTTTTTCGTCATCTTTGCCCCAATTCGAGCGAGAAATTCAATTTTTTGAAATTTTTCCAATCTCGTGATACGGTACTGAAAAAGTACTAAATTTTTCTATCGAGGAGGTACTGAATTTCTTGGGAATGTACTGAAAAAGTACTGTAAAAGTACTAATGTTTGGTCAGCCTGTTATGATGGACACCTCGGGGAAAGGGTCCCGGGAAACCGGGAACCATCAGCGAGAACAGAATGAAAAGCTCCTGAAAAGTCTGTCCCACCCAAGTGTTTCCCCTTTCTTGTATGAAAATTGAAAAATCACCGAGTGTGTCAAGTTTGTTCTGAAAAGTATCCTCATGTGCTGTTTAAGCTTCCTTCTCTCTAGGTATACCTTTAAAGAGATCTGAATTCAAGGGGGCTCCTAACTTCCAAATCGTGTCTTGAAATTCCGGCTGTAAATGCTCCTGTTAAAAAGTTTGAAGCTTTGATTTAACAGAGATAATTCAAGGATTTTTCGAACTCTTTACCTTTTCCATCCCGCCAAAATAAGGCTACGATTGAACTGGTATTATTTCTAACATATTTTATTTTGATTTTCACTGAAACGAGTACCGCTGTTTTGTTTCCTTACCTCTGAAAAAGATTCATCTCTGAGGCAGGCGTTCGCGCGGTCCAATTCCACTCGATTATCAAAACGCCTTAAAATAGAAGTGTATGCAATTTCAGCTACACCTGGTGTATCAATAGTTGCATATCTGGCAAGTTACTTAGTGATGAAAATGTTAATAAAGTCACTGGTTCTTGTTCGGACTGCATTTTCCCGGAAAATCTTTGTCTAGAAAGTTAATTTTCCTTCTTTGTATGTTATTTGTTTTTCTCTCGTTTGGTATGGAGATACTTATTCACATTATGCATGTTGATTTGACTCTCAAGCATATCAATGCTCAGCTACTCAGTCTGGAGATCTTTAAGAGTGAATTTCTAAAGCTCTCTCCGTTTGTATTTGTACAATCATAATGAGTCAAGTTTTTTAATTCCTTTCAATAAAAAATATTTTATTTCATAATGAAATAATTTACGCCTAAAAAGTTCAATTTTATGAAAGAAAAACTGTCCTTTGAATTGAAGGAATAAATCGATAAATCATTCAAGTTGGCTAGCTCGCAAAAACTATATTTTCTTAGGCTCCAACAATTGTTTATTAAGTTTAAACAACAGCACTTGCAATAATATTTTTAACTTTTTTCTCTGTGCCATTACAGGTTGACGATCCTCTGGAACAAGCCATAAAATTTTTAAAACCTCTACAACTTCTAGCCTCTAACCGTATTGAAACTCACCTAATGGCCTTTGAAATTTACTTTAGAAAAGGTATGTACCTATGGTTTTGTTGGTTTAGTAATTTACACCTTTTTCAGCAGTACATGTCATCTTAGGTACCATCTATGGTAATAAAACACCATAACTTTTTGAAACTAAAATCGATTTTTTCCACAGTAAAACAAACCATCAAGAATGGGAAATTGACATGTTTGAAAAAGTTCATGCAATTGAGGTGCTTGGAGGACAAGGTGCATATGTGCAGTTTTCACTATTTCGAAAAATACTCTTTTGAAGTTTCGAAATTACATGGATCCTTATGGCAGGAAGAAAGTTTAAACACACTTTTTGATGCTTAAGAACTGGAATTTGGGAACGAATTTTTCACAAATTATGCATCAAGACTAGTTTTACTTGAAACTATCCATATCTCAATGTTTTCAAAAATTGCACTTGTTAGCCTTGTCTCCTTAGCCCCTTAATTGTAGAGGAGAATACTGTTGAAAAATCTATAATGAAAGTGGAAAATTTGAAGAAAGGAAAACACTAACATGATTTTATTACAGAAGGCAGTCAAAATTACCAAATCAATTCAGTCATGGTAGCCATTTATAGTCATATCTGTATTCGGTTTAATTTTTGACAAACGAAAAAGGAAAACTTTAACGTTAGAATAGAGTGAAACCTATTTCATTATCAATAATGCGGTGGACAATAGAGCGTTCGACAAAAGACTTGTATGGAAGAGATAGCTGTCAATTTCCTTTTGTCCAAATAGCGCTCGATCCATCAAATATCCTTGCAGCAGCTCTTAACTTTTCATGCATGTGCAAGTATACATCCTTAACACAGACCTTTTACTTTAGATGAGTCTTTTGATGGAAATTGCACCTTTGCACTGCATTTATTTGGTCGAGTACTGTAATTTTTAATTATCAGTTTAAGTGGGTTTTGGATTATCAAGGTACTTTTGTACTATTTTTTTGTGTATTCAACCATTAAACTATTGATTTGGCTTTATGCGTGTGTGTGATATTTTACAGAAAAGCCATTGATCATGCTCCAAAGTATAAAACGAGCCCACCGTTTGAACCCTAGCGATCCTGCTCTTCATTCTTGCCTCGTACGTTTTCTCCTGTGGCGATCGAACAACAAAGAATCATTGGATCCCAGTGTGAATGTGGTCATCGATAGCACCCTAAGTCAATTAATTGGTAATGTCACTGATGCACACGAGCTTAATTCACAGTTCCTTCAGAAATATTCAAATTCTCTTCCAGCACTTTTTGAAGGTAAGTAACCTTATGACTACCCGAATTTTTGAAATATGAAAGATGTCACACGCTCTTTTAGGATCTCTATTTTTGTTCTTAGTTTACTTTGTCCTTTACAAGGTAATGAATGGGTCTTAGTTTTGGAGATGACCCCCAATAAAGACCCAAAATTTCAAAAAAAGAATTATTACCCAAGTAGCATTGATTGCGATAAATAGCGATTTTATCGGTTGGTTATCACAATTATATTGGTGGCAATATATCGAGATATTATTGCATTAAAAATTGCGATTTATGGTGATTAAATTGCTACACATCGCAATTTTTGGTTCAATAAAATCGTGATCAATTTTTGTCGATAAAATCGAGTTTAAGTCCCCATTTATAGCAATTTTTATTTTGAAAATATCACGATAAATTGTCGGGCGATAAAAGCGCTATTTGATTGCCACAAGATCGAGGATAATCGCTCCGATGTTGATGATGATACAATCGCAATATATAGCGATTTTTCCCTTGAGAAATGCTCCTTGGGTAGAAGGTGATCCTAGATCTACAATGAATTTATTAATTTGATTTAATCTAGATTCATGTGTAAATTTATAATACATTTAAATTTGTATTCTACTTCAAATCGGCTTTTTCCAATGTTGTTTGGTTAAAGACTTTTAAATATCAAAGTGCAACAAGGCTTCATGCTTGTCAAGTATTTCCGACTCAAATGAAAAAGGCACCTTAACTGTAGAACCGTCATGATTGCAAATTGAATTGTTTCACCAGATGCTTCCACGCATCGTTTTATTTATTGTATACATGTTCATGTCTTGTCATATGAGTGGATATTGTAGTAAAAATTGAATGTTGCTAGATTGTGCAAAAAATGAAACTAATTAAATTAGGCCCTCTTTACACAAACTGATCCGAACAAAATATGATTGTCTTCTGTTTCTGAGTTGTTAAGTCAAACAAAATATGTCTAATCAAATGTTTAATCCATGTCATTTCTTATTTTCATCTCATGTATGCATTCCGTTTTTAGGTAGCAAAATGATGTATCTACTAGACTCATCAAGGAAAGAAGAAGCTGTATCTTTAGCCACAAAACTTGATGACAAGCTAGAAGGGATTAGTATACCGGTGAGGAAAATAAACTCTTTTATTCCTTTTACTTTTTTCTTTTATTATCAACAATTTTCTTTACTTTGTCTGTGCCAGAGTCATAATCTTAAGGAGATCAATATTGAAAGGGTGTATAAAAGAAATTAGTGGTTTGAAGAAAATGCACTTAAAGTTTTCATTTTAGTTTTCTGACAATTGACCCATCTTGAGCTGTGGTCATTGAGATCAAAGTTCATATATTTTGGAATGTAATGCTGGGTTACCACAGTCAGAGAAAGATGGGAAGACCAGGCAATGTAAGAGGAAATGACAGAAGGGTGAGGGAAAAATTGTTCAGTCACCTTTATTTGTTACCTAGAATGAGTTTGACGTTTTGAACAACAAATTTTGCTTGAAAACTAATTCAAATTATATCTTTTTAACATCTTGCATATCTTTAATTGTTAAAGAATTTTATTGAAATGTGTCAAGAAAACCGAGGAAATTCATTTTCTAAAGTCTGTAGCAACCATGTATCATTTTTAGAGGAATTTCACCTTGAAACCAATGTCTTATAGAATGAATCAGAACCTTATCTCCGTTTTTTTGAAATCCGTGGCAATTGTGTATCATTTTAGAGAACTTTCACTGTAAAACCAACCAATGTTTGGTCAAATTAAATGTAGCAAATCCTCGTCTTATACTTTTTGATCATTTTCAGCTCTGTACAAAAATAGTGGAATCTTTACAAGAAGGAGTATTCGGAAGCTGTGAAAAAGAGAGCGAGGAATACAAGAAGCTTTGTCACGCACGGTACCCATTAGCTACAGCATTCAAACCAGTCAGCTCTGAAAGCGCTTCGGATAGTAGCATCTCAGAAAGCCAGGGCCAGGGAGCCAGGGTGTTTACGTAATTGATACTTCCCTACCTCACAACTTCATCGGTGAGTACAGTCAATTCGAATTTTAGTGTCATCCAAGTGTCTTAAAAATGGTTTATGATCAAAGACCAAGATTTTCTGTAAAGTTGTACTTGAAGATAAAATTGAATCTCTGTACGCTTTGATATTGAGCAAGTATAAATAATGTCAACCTTGGAAATTTAGAATTTTTTACGCAAATCTCTTAAAATTTTAATTGAGCTTACAGATCTGTTGCCTTCTGTGCCAGGAGATCATCACTAACATGCAGAAAATTTGAAGGGTTCCAGACCCAAGAATGAAATTAAATATTGACTCATTTTGGAAGGCCTCACCTCTTTTTCAAAGTTGATCCATTACTAGCTAGACCAGCGTTTTTTTGCTCGCAATCTAGCAATTAAAGCTACCAGGAAAAGAACAGAATACTGTAGATGTTCCTCAGAACACTATTTGTGGCATTTTCTATTGGATAATCAGACAAACACAGCCGAAAAAATTGTCTATCCACCGAGCGAGTTAGCTTGTCTATGCACAGTTGAATAGATCATCCCCAAAAAGACAGACGTCAGAGATGAAATTGAAAGAAAAACAGGAAAAGCGGTTTCAATCGACCCATTTTAAATTTCAGATTAAGTAATAGTGTGATTAATCATTCAATGATTCAATACTTTGAAGCAGAAACGGGTAGATTTAAAAGATTTTCTGTGTGATTTTCTCGTATTTTAATTTTTGCCATCAAGTCTGTTTGAAAATGACCAATTTATATGTCCTGGGTTAGCAACGACAAGTCTACACAATGAATGCAAATAATCGCTTGGCAATTGCGAGAGTTAACAGAATCTCATGAATGCATTTGTTCATGTACATAAATGGTTTAATTTAAACTGATTCAGTGTCTTGTAAATTTTATTCCTGAGTTTTGAGTCTCCTTTTTCTTTTGTATCCAGTCTGTGTACACCATGTTTTATTGTAAAGAAAATACTTGTTTCAATAATTATATTATCATGTGTCTCTTGCCCAGATGATAACTGTGGAGGGGTATCAACTGACAACATTGGCGCGATAACGGCTTTAGTCATTGGATAGGAGTCTCGTCATCTCGGAGGAGGGAACTCAGTGGTGTTTTGTGGTGTTGTTATTGTTACCCTGCGAAACTCTCTCACTTTAGTTTAATTTTTACTAATTTAAGAATTGGTTTTTATTACGTATTACTTTCTGTTGGCGACTTTTCGCTAACAATAAAGCTGAACTTTTTTTTTATTATTGTTCATTCTTGTTATTGGTAATCGGACTTTTGTGAATTCGTTCCCATGTTCGTTATTTTCTTGTTCAGTTTTATTTTTTTTTCCTTTTTTTCTTATAATTCAGTAAGTGAGGAGAATCAACTTGACATACCCTTTCAGTTTTTTAACGCATGTTCATGATTTGGAAGCTCTTTGTGTTTCATTGAAAAAGTAGTGATAAGTATTCACACTGTCGATGGCAATGAAGGTATGACTCTTCAGTGTATCTTTGACTTGTTCTGTTGTTAGCTGCTGTGTTCTTCTGTATACATGCATCTTTATTTTTGTCAGAATCATCAGAAATCTCAAATGTTAATCAACTTGAGTCGAAGCAGAACTCTTAAACCCACTAAATAGCTGGGCTCATGTAATCTTTATGTAACCAGGTTTCGTATTCACATTGCTTGATGCTTTGAGTATTGGGACTGTCATATTGAAGATAACAACGGGGAAACTCCAAAACCATGTACCACGTTTGCAGCATATCCCTTATCTTCATCCTAATTTTACTTCAATAAAGGAGAACATATCAATTTACCTCCTGGAAGTTTGCGCAGAATTTTATTTTCACTAAGGAAAATGAAAGAAGTTTTGAAGAATTAATTTAGAATGGTTTCCAATTTAAAAAATAAATTATGACAGGAAGTCTGCAACGATGCAAAAACTGAGATACATGGTTTGTTAGTTTCACTGTCGATGTTGAATTTTAATGTGAAGTTTTGTGTCGACTACATACCTGAAGAATATCTTTTCTGCTTCATTGTTCAAGGAAATGCTCTGATATCTGAAGAAAAGTTATCAAGTGTTAGTACTCCTCTGCGTGAAATCCAAATTGATGATTGAGCTTAGGGAACAACTTTTTTTCGCAAGGTTTTTTCAACTTTTTCTGTCATTCCATCACAATATTTTAAAAAGTACCATTCACCGTAAACTAGAGGTTGAGAAATTCATACAAAGTTGAAGGTTAAAGTTTGCAGTCTCATTTTGAATATGAATGAAAGAAATTCCGGAATTTTTACATATTTCCCTGTTGGGTTCCTTTTGTAAAAACATGAAGGAAGTGACAAATGCTTTAAAGATATAAATGCGCACACCAATATCTGCCGTCTTCAAGACTTTTTTTGTTAATCCTTCTGTAGTGCTTAAGGCAGGTTCTCCCTTATCATATTCTTCATTACCGGAGCTTTGACTCGCAAGATGCTGGATTAAAGTTATCTTTCGTGTAGGAAATGTTCACTGGAATAATTATATGGGTTCAACTTTGTAATGTTTTTCCTCATATTATGTTCACTCTCTATAAATGGAAAAGAACAAGACATTTTTTTATGTAGAAATCACCTTCATAACTGTCCATTTTATCATTTATTGAAATTTGTTAGATCATTCAATACTAGAAGACGCCATTCCATAATAACTGCAAGATGACTTCAAGATTGTGCAAAACAACAATCCATTAAACATCCATTCGATGAACAGAACACAGTGCAACTTTCATTATCTCTTCTAAATTTCACAAGGAAAATGGGAAGTCTGAAGATCAAATCCTAGACAAGATGTATGTTGAAACGAGAGAAGCTGTTGAACGGCTTTTTGGCACGGAGTGTTAACAATTAGCATTGATTGAACAGCAAAAATGAAAATTATATCATCTGTGTATTCTAACTTCCATTCGAACAGAATAGAATCTCACCGAGTTACATTTCAGAAAAAAAATGAGTTTGGAGCAATTTTGAACTCAACTAGTCGCCAACTTTCTCCCGTCAAATATTCAAAGTTAGGAAGATTTATTTTGATTGCGAAAGTAGTTGTTGAGACCTGGTCCTTGACATATAGTCTAACAGGGTAGTAAAACTTCACACTTCTAGGAATAAAACTTTAAACTTCCTTTTCTCAGATCAAACTTGAACCATTTGATCCATCTGCGTTGAAAAAAATCTTTTTACAATCTTGTTGAGGAGTGGATTGTCCAACTTCCTGTTATGTGTATTGCTTAAACTTAATATTTTAAAGAGAATACATTTGACGTTTTGTCCCAATTAAACTGTGCCCAGTTGCCCATTGTGAGGCTGGCTAACTTGTTTCCCTTGCAATTGAGTTCTCTGCCAACTGTCATACTAATTTTTGATGAGATTTATTGAGCTGAAGCTGAACATAGCAACCAGAGAAAGAAAAATCATGGACCTTTTAAAAATGTTTGCATTTTTCTTGCAAATATCTTGAAGTTTTTGTCTCGATCAATTTAATCAATAATTTACTATTAATCTACCCAAAAAATATCAGTTTGACTCTCCTGTTTTTATTTTTTGTTCGACCATTTTTTTTTTTAAATTGAGTTGTTTAGATATAAGTTAATTTTTCCATTACCATTATATCATCAAGGAAAACTGAATTTTCTTACCCATTTATTATTCTTGCGAAATTCTAATGATAAATTAATTCATTTTCCTCTCAGAATCTTTGAATTTGTTGCAAAATATGAGCATGTGAAAATTGTCATATCGACGGTGAAAGTCAGCAATCACATAACTCGGTTTGCGACGTCGCAGACTTCCTGTCATACTTTATTTTTTAAATGGAAAACTACTCAACGGCAATCCTTTAAAACTGTCATGATTTTTCTTCTCAATGCGAAGAAAATTCTGCAAAAACTTCAAGAAATAATATCAATTTGTTCTCCTTTAAAAAAATGACGTAGAGGCGGAGATCTTCAGACACCGCAAACGAGTTATGTGATGACCGACTTTCACCGTCGATATGTCCTGTGTTGCTGGGGCTTTCCCCATTTTATGTTCAAAAACATGGCAGGTTTGCTTTTCCACAAATATTTTGTGAAAAAGGAACAAAAATACTTCAAGCTCTAAAAATTTCTCTCCAATTTTGCCTCGTATTAAATTTTCAACCTCGCAACTTACCAAAACTATGGGTCTCTTTATCTCAGTCCCCAAATCTCATAGTATTTCCAACCGGTTTGTTTTCTTTATATTCTGACAAGAGATCTTATTTTTTCTTTTAAAGACCACATTAAATTTCCCGGCTTTTGTTTCTGCCTGGAATTTAGAAATAAGTCCTAATATCTTCTCCTGTCAATATGGAATTCACAGCAATCTCACTGTCCTGTCACAAAGCTTTAATAAATGCATGGAAGCTTTAATAGGTAAAAGTAGCTTTACTTGTTAAAAAAGTTTTCTGTATAGCGATGACTAAAATTGAAAATTGCGCCTCTCCTATTGCAACATCGCAACCCTCAGTTCATGTTTCATTGCTTGGAAAGGGAATGGACCCTAGGTCTCCTCTTAAATTTGCTTTGTATTCACTCTCTCTATTCATTAATATGCACAGATAATCTGGTGGAGATATTTTGGCTCGTTTTCTTAAAAAAAAATAACTGTCATGGAAAAATGTTGCAATGGAGTTATGTATTTTTAACTTCAGCCATCAATATGTCATCTCTCTCTCTTGATAATGAATGGAAGTGATCATATTTATTTAAGAGATTTAAAAGCGCCCTCTTAACCCCTGTAAGAATCTATCGTCCAAAATGCAATTTTGTGACAGATTTAACTGTTTCATAATTTTCACTCCATCAAAATTCTTTGTACATCTCGTTTTTTCCGCTTTTAATTTATTCATTCATTTATTTTTTTCAATGTGAGACCAACTGGAAATCATAAAAAACTTAATTTAATTTAATTTAATGAGTCACTCCTTTTTTACCATTAATGCATATTTATGAAGCAATACCGACGATTCTAAGAGCATAGTCCATGCAATCATTGCTCGTGGAAAATGGAATTTTTTTTTCATAAAAAAGAAAAAAATTATACATAAGTCACTAAGTTTTGGGAGTGGAATTTTTTTAATTTTGTCTCTTCTTCCAAGACGAAAACTTCTGAACAATATTTTTGTTATACATGTGAATCGTCATAGAATGACAGAATTTTTTTCAATGATTTTTCTGATGTTTTTTTACTTGTCATTTTAATCTCTGTCCTCTGTGTTCTGAATTTTTGCAGATTAGGTAGGATCCCTGTTAAATTAATTATCAATTTAACGGCTAATTAATTTTTAGCTGTCGAATTGTTTTTATTCGTGTACTTCTGACTAGAAATGAAACCACTGATGAATTGAATTGTTCACGTGATCTTTGTAAATTTTGAAAAATATGTACAGAACTAATAAAATTTTTAAAAGATCGCCAAAGGTTGCTGGTTTTCTGTTTAGATTCCTTTTCATGCCAGTTATGTCTTTGTATGCCAGTTATGTTTTGTTACTTTTCATTACTTATTGAAAATCTTTGAAGAGAGATTAAGACTTGAGAACCTTTACGAATGCCACTGCTCAGTCACTGCTGTGAATCGGTCAATATTAAATGCTCTTCCGACACGTTTGGTGACAAGCATAGAAATTTAAGGGCCATCAGGTGAACACACATACTACATTTATTACATGCAAAAAATTGTGTATCTCAATTTTAATGTTTAAAAATATTAAAACAATGTCAAAATTTCTTCAAATGAAAGAAATCCAATTGTTAATTGAATCAGTGTGAACAAAAACACACCAACCTGGTAACTCGAAAATGCTACATTTTGCATTCAAGACAGTCAATTTTCGTAAAGGTCATTGAAGTTAATGCATCTGTTCCAACTCGGACCTTTAAAGTGTCCTTAAGTACTTGTCTTTTGACACCAAAAATCTTTTTCTTAGACTAACTTCCTCACCTACAGTGCAGTTTTGTGTGGGTCTTGATTATTGTCATTTTCCTGAGCTAGTGTGTTTTCATTCTCACTGATTCAATTGACACAAGTGTTGACCCTGCAAGGAAAACTCCGGAATTTGGCGTTTGCTAAGTTTTGTTATTTGATAATGTTTTCATTTTGACCTCCTGAGGACGATAAATCGATAATATCAAACTTTCTTTCCTACTTGCATCATTTAGTAGAAATGTTGGTGATTGAAGAGAGCCCCTCTTTCCTCTCCTCTCCCAAGCGCAACAGCTTGGAAGATAATGACAAACCGCCTGCTAAAATTCACTTTCTAGCCCTGTATTTAAAAAAATTAGAGAGTTCAGTTTCAAAGCTTTTTGTGCTCATGGTGTCATAAAGAACACCACATCAAATGGATCACCTTAGCAAAAAGGAACCAGTGCAAGTACAGTGTTTTCAAACTGTCCCTTCTTCATATTTATCTGAGAAATGTCCAAAAATGGCAAATAGATTTTGCTTCCCACCATGAACTTGTTAATTTTAAATGAAAATAATTGTGTAAACTTTAATACTGTAACTGCATCAAGAATTTTTAAAGGAAAAAAAGAAGTTGCACGATTTTGAAAACACTATAATCACGCTGGTTCTTTTTTGCTCAATCCATTTAATGAAAAAATTTACCCGGCGCCGGCACTGCATTTCCCAGTTTTCTGTTCAGGGTCTTTTGACACCCCCTTTTCTATATTACATTGATCACTTCCCAAGAAAGGAAGAAGAATCGGCCTTCAGACTAGGTATAAATTGAAGCACTACGCAACATTATTCTTAAAAACGAATCACACAACGGAAAGTCTAAAACTCAACTAGGTACATATCAAAATAGATATAAATGTCTACAATGAACCTATTTGAATAATCAAACTCACATCTGTTAAAAAAAACTTTGCAATATTTCGTTCAGAAGTTGATTTCCAAACTTTCCAAAGTGTGCATCGTACACAAAGTGTGTACGTAAAATTCCAAAGAGGAAACAAGTGACTTAATTTCTAGTTCAGTCCTTGTCTAGTGGGAATGAAGTCACTTGAAGCTTGGTTACGTTCAGTGGTGAGAGAAACGTGTATTTTGGTTATCAATAGGCGGTCTCATAAAAGAATCAATTACAAACTTATTATTCCAATCTGGGAGATCCTCAGGTTCATCATCTTCATCATCTGGTTCTGGATCAGTATTCATAAGAGCGAGTTCAGAACCGTAGATGCTGACATTTTGCTCCGAGAGCCCTATTCCCACAGCATAAAATTTCGTGTAGTTTTGACCGTGAAAGACAGAGATGTATTGTTTATCATCAACTTTATTTGCAGCTCTTCCTGCTGCCTCATCAGTACTCTCATTATTTCCAGCTATTTGGAGTTCAATAATCATCCCTGGAAATTTTCTCCGCATTTTTTTATTTGGAGCCAGAGCAATGTCATACTGACCATATCCCACCTTTTGTTTTGATGTAATAGCGTAAAATTTGAGGAGGGGAGACAGTAAGCCCAAGAAATAAGACAAATACATATTCTTGGAATTGAATTTTTTGAAGTTGTAAAACCTTCCACCTTCTCGGAGGCTTCTAGCGATGAATTTCTCCATTTTAGGTAAGTTGACTTCTGTTATACTCTTTTCGAATTCTGTGAAATTTGCGATGATTGTCTCCAATTGATTTTTAAAGGCTGCTTGACAAAGGTTCCTTAAGCAGTTCTTGGCATCCAGTGTTGGAATTTTCAATATTTTGAAGTTAACATCATCTACATTACGTTGACTCACTGCGTTCAAGTAACCAGCATGTACAAGTAGAGTCCATAAATTATTTTCCTCGTTTTGCAGAGTCTGGAAAGAAAACTGTTCTTCAATGTTTAAACCAACCTCCAGATTATTTTGGAATAAACAGACCAGAACGCCCTTTATATTCATTCCCACAGTCATCAGTAATGCTTTCGAAATTCTCATCAAGTCTGGTTCATCTGACCAGTAGGAGCCAGGTTTGCCCTCTTTCAAACTATGTATTAATGAGTGTGGGTTGTAAACAATACTACCAGAGAAATTATACCCACAATATGCAACTGCTAACTCCATTTTTTGTGACATTTTATGTGTCTTTGCGAGTAAAGCATCAACTTCTACCTCTGTGAAGCCATAATGATGTGCGTACCTTGTATCATTGAAAACAGAATGTATTTTCAAATCTTCCAATTCAGAAAGGAATGTTTCCTCGGTCAGCACAACTTTACCAGTGAGCACAGCTTTTTCTATATATTTTCCATGAATTTTTAAACTGTATTTAAGCATCTCACCAATTAAACTCTTCATCTGGCAATCGTAGTCGTAGAAATATCCTGTATAAAAAGGCTTGTCGTATGCATCAAACAATAGAACAACTTTTTTTCCAGTTGCTGCGTGCAAGAACCTACTGAGAGAAGCAACTGATAGTTTAACTTCCTGGTAAACAGCTGTCTCATTGAGAATTCTCCTGAAGTAATCTTCATCCTCCTGATTGAGTTTCTTTCTGTGGAGCAGGTATTCATGTTTATGATACAAGTCCTTTATTATTGACCGAACCTTGGCTTCTGCTCCACTAGAAGTGGGTTCTACCACACCCTCAAATGAAATATAAATGACTGGGTATTGGTATTTGTGTAATGATGAAAATTTCATTTTTTCTATTTTCAACCCTTGAAATAGGTCTACTTGAGAGTCATTCTGTGGACGAGAATCGTTGTTCGCTACGAAATTTTGGAGCATTGATAGTGCAAATGTTTTGCCAAAGTGGTGTGGTCGTGTTATCAAAAGAACCTTAGCTTTGTCCTCCATGATGGCATGGATTAACTCGGTTTTATCCACGAAAGTGAACTTAGAATTGACAACAGTGAAAAAGTCGCTCACCTCAATTGGCAGATTTAGTTGTTGTGCTGAGTATTCCTAGAACAATCAGCATAGAGAGTAAATTAAATGATGAGTAGAATGAAACCTTGAAATTTGAAGCAATTTTCATCTGGGACCTAATGCAATGATCATGTTAAAGTTTTTAATGTTTTGATTGTGTGCTTAAGTGCACTGTAACGTTTTTCTATAAATTTGAGATGATTCAGGGTGGGGTTCGCCTCAAGATTTGGCAAAAAAAAGAAAAAAATTACATTAGGATGCAATAAAGGAGAATCATGGGACTTCAAATGAAAGCTCATTTTTTTCATCTTAAAACTCAACTTTTCTATCTAAGAATATAGGGTTTTTAACAACTATCTCTGTTTTTTTTCCCCCTTTTCTGAAGGCGGGCGGCCCCCGGCTATGGCTCCTTAGGGGCCAGGGGGCGACCCCCACCTTTGGCTTCTTAGGGGCCAGGGGGGCAGCCCCCGGCTTTGGCTCCTTAGGGGCCAGATGAGCGGCCCCCGGCTTTGGCTCCTTACTTGCCAGGTGGACGGCCTCCTGCTTTGGCTCCTTAGGGACCAGGTGGGCGGCCCCCGGCTTTGGCTTCTTAGGGGCCAGGGAGGCGACCCCCCCCCCCTTTGGCTTCTTAGGGGACAGGGGGGCGCCCCCGGCTTTGGCTCCTTAGGGGCTCTAAGAATATCGAATGACATTGCTGTTATTCGTACTCCGTTGTCTGAAGTCAATGATTCGCCTTCAAATGGCCGGGTATGCAAAATGACTACCGTGGCGCACGAATAGTGGTATCAGAATTTTGCATTAAGTTTACGGATTGATTTGAAGGCGCTCTTCTGTATCCATTGTGAGTGGCTTTGTAGTATGATGTTGACCAAAAAGTTCATAGTTATAAGTTTGAAATTGAGCCGCATATTCGAAAATTGCCGAGGAATATTATTTTGAAAAAATAATAAGATTGTTTTTGGTCTCTACGTCTTATTTCAAAGAAGAGAGTGCAGGCGGCTGGATCAGATTGTGTATTTTATATCCCTTGGTTCGGTCATCGTATTCTGAAGCGAAACTGAAGGAGTCGCCGTTTACATGATCGCATCTTACTCAAAAGCGGTCGTGAATTTAAAAAGTTTCGCACGGATAAAATGAGCTTTCTTTGATGAACTGTGAATAATCAAAATTGAAGAAAAGGTACTTTGTCCACTGGTCCATTAGGAAAGCGTAAAGCATGGATGGATGGAGCATCGATGACCAACTTTTAAGTGTGAAACCCTTTTTTCAGTCCTTAAATGATCCAAATCCACCAACAAGTTTAAAACACTAATGGCAAGTATGCGTATCTAGCTGATAAAGTGTCGATTCTTAGTGCCAAAAACGCGAATCTCGGCATTTCTGTAGTATTTTCTAACAGTTCGAGAAATTATTGAAACTGCTGATGAGTTTGAAAAAAAAACAAGCAGTGAACTCCAACACAATGTGTTGATAAGGCGCGTCATTAACTCGCACATATCAACCCCTTTAGTTTTCATTTACAGAGATTTCAAAATAGGCAAACAGCATAAAAAGAGAATTCACGATCCAACACTGCGAGGTCAAAGACGCACCTTGACGAGACCGTGTATTGTGAAAGTAGAAAGCTATTCGATCGAATTTAAGTTTTTTGATCTGCCTCAAGCAAAATCTTATCAGATTCTTGAAGAAAAGTGCTACGGAATAATTTAAGCGAAGAAAGGAAAAATTCTGTCGAACTCCTAGAAGATAAAGTCGATTTAAAGGTATTTTGGGGCTAAAATACCCAAATCACCGGTAGTAAAAATCCCGTTATATTATTGAAAAGAAATTGACTCGATATAAATGCAATTGCATTAAATACGTCTTGATTTTGTTATTTTAAACGTCTTTCCATGCAAAGAAGTTCAACCATGTCGTTGCTTTATTCATTCATGAATTGAAAGTAAGCAATCTACATCCCGAAAATCTACTGATTTGCCGTAAAAAATTGCAGAAACTTGATATACCAGGTCGATGCACCCACTCGTTGAATTTACCAACCAATTTTGTGAGTGCAAATGTGTAAGAATCAATATGCTATAGTCATTTTGGGTGCATTTATTTTTCATGAAACAATAATAATTTCAATCCCGAAAAACCATCAATTTTCCGTATAAAATCGAAAAAATCAAAATATGTCAACTCCCCGACGTGAAAATTAGATTCTACGTATGTAAAATGTAAATACTTATGTATCGATATGCTGAACAGAACTATGTGTGGACAGTCAGAAGCCCGCGGCAACATTAATTCAACAGAAAAACTGTAAAAATTAGATAGGATTTTAGCCGCTTTGCCCGCCTCTCCTCGCTACTTACAACAAACCGTTCTTATACTCATCTCAAAATTTTTCTCAGAGCTTTGGGTTATTATCAGCTTCCATTTAAACTCCGGTTCGATGGCCGAATCGGCTGCCAAAAAAGCAAGCCACTGTTGAGGGGTTCTATGAGAAATTCGTGATATTATCGGCTCTCAGGAAATCACCCCATGGCTAAAATTGGTGGTATAAATGTTTAAGTGCTTAAAATAATCGTATTCAAGAAACTAAGGAATTAAACTATGGAGTCAATTTCTTTTTAATAATATAACGAATTTACTACCGGTGATTTAGCTATTATAGCCCCAGAATACTTTTAAAGCGCCTTTGCGTTCCAGAATCTCGACGGAATTTTTTTTTTTTTTTTTTTTGCTTAAACGATTCAAGAAACATTGTAGTTAAAAATATAAAGATTTTTCGATTTGGACGTATGAAAAATGTTTAACTCGTTCAGGCACACCGTGTATTGTATGGAGTACTGCTGTTATTCGACCGTTGTCTTCAGGTCAAAATTCTTACAAAGAAGCCCCTTGCAAGAGGCAAATTTTTTGTAATTTCTCCCAGTTTTTTCAGCGTTAGGTATATAAATGAATTGTTTGTCAAATTTTGAGGTCAATTATATTTAATTGTAATTTATACTTTCTTTTTTTCCCCTTCATTTTATTTTTCGTATCGAGGAGTCGAGGTTTTGTTGATTTCTTCGGATTTCGATTACTGTAACTTCTCTTCTATTCGGCCGATTTTTATGAATGAGGTCTCTTTTTATTTGTGTTTTAACGGAGAGTAAGGAAAAAATTGCTAAATACATGCGAAACAATTTTTTTTGAAAATTGGATGAATCCTAGCGTGACGGTGAAATGGTTAATGAAGCGTGAGTAATTGGGGTACGGGTATCGGCCGCGTTGGGACCCAAGGCCCATTGTTCTTCGTGACGCCGACGCAGTGATCAGGAGCGTGGGGACGAGAGGGCTTAGTGGACTCCTGTATGAGCCACGTTTAGCAAATGGTCTAATGAGTCTCGAGGCTCATCACAGATTGCACTTACCACTATCCTGGTGGCCCCGGCTATCAGAGCAAGGAGTACCAACTTTTGAAAAGGATAACAGTGTTGTGGAGATATGTCAAAGCAACGTTGTGAACAAAACGGAGTGAGTGAAATTCTCATTCAAGGAGTGCCGAACTGGTCAGCCATCCTCGAATCAGTTCGCTTGCTTCCGCTTATATATGCATATTTTAAATCAGCGCGCCCCATTCTAAGGTTTTTTTAAAAAAAACCAAGAAACGTAGACTCTTGGTATTCATTACACATAAACTAGCGAGCCCCAGAATGAGAAACAAATTTTAATCATTATTATTGACGGATTAGTAAACTTTTTACACGCTTTGGAAAATCTCAGAAGTTCGCGGTAGTCACTTTTCGGTAAGGAACTAGGGGACTCGGTTATTGTATCGAGGGGGGGGTCGAAACGATCGCAAAGGCGGTATACTACGTATACGCGCCAAAAACATCTTATTCTTGCTATCCTCAAGATTTATTACCCTTCTATACCGACAATAAAGAGGAATGCAGACAGTTTTTTTTTTACTCTCCTGGAAAATCGTGTTCTCCGAGATTCGCACTTCTGCACTTTCACCATCGATAAAGTGCTTTAGTATTGTTTAATTAACATTTGCACAGGCAGTAATTGTGATTGTTTAGTCTGTAATTTTTTTTCTCATTAATTTCTTTACAAACATTCTCAGGTATATATGTTGCAGGCAATTAGCAATCGCCGGCACCTTGCAATCTATTCGTGTTTAATCAACAAATTAAATCGTTTTAAAGAGAAAAAATGAGATTGGAAGTAGGGATTATTATTAGGTTCGGTTCAGCAACTAAACTAACTCCTTGGCAAAGCGGAGAGTATCGCTGGATTTGCAGGCGTAAAGAAATCTTTACTATATCGATGTTATCGTATTTACAATTTGACAAATTGACAAGTACGGAGCTTGCCAATTGCCGGTGATCGCAGACTCCCTGCGACTTATACACAGATAAAGATTTCAGAGATATTTATTTCCATCTTTAAGTTAACATGTACTTTTCTCCCTTCTAATCAGCATGTGTGTTTCTTTTTTGTTTCTGGTGCATCCCTCGGAATTCTTGGATTCGACTTTGGACAAAAATCGATGATCTTCCTGGACAACGCAAATTGCCAATTAAAAAATTGGGATCGTTCAATTACCTAAACGGGACACTTGATTCACTTAACTGAATCTTTAAATTAACTGGAAACTCAAATTTACCATAAATCCTACTCAACCGAAAACCTGATCTGACCCTGCTAACCAAAACTTCACTCAACCGGTGATCTTATCCACCGGAAACTCAAATCAATCGACCAATCGTCCGGCCGAATTTTACTTAACCGGAAATCGACAACCGTAAACTCTGCTCGAACGGAAACGTGCTCCAATCGAAAACTTGACCCAACTGGAAATTCGATCCAACCTGAAATCTGACCCATACCAAAATTCCAATTCACTGGAACCGTAATCCATCCGTATATGACGTGACCGGAAATTAACCCAACTGGAAACTGTTTCCAACCAGTAACGTGTCCCTGTCGAAAATTTGACTCGACTGAAAATTTGATTCGATCGGAAATCTGACCGACCAGAAACTACAATCAACGGGATACGTTATCCACCAGAAATTTCACTTGACCGGAAATCGAAAATCTTGTTTTCTACTCGACCGGAAATGTGCTCCAATCGAAAACTTGACTCAACTGGAAATCAACCCTACCGGAAATGTGTTCCAACCCAAAATTTGGTTGTTCTCGGATGGAGAATAACCAATTTCAATAAGAATATATCATTGATTTTCCTACAAAATTGCAAAAAATCGATATAAGCGATTGATATATCGACCCGTTAACGTTAAAAATCGATTCTACGAGAAAAAATACGTAGGTGTCGGTGTACTATAGTCATATTAGGTGCATTTAGTCATCCATAAATAAAAAATGGACAATTTCAATCGCAAAAAAAATCGTCGATTTTCCGTAAAGAATCTTAAAAAATCGATACACTCGATCGATATATCGACTCGTCAACAATGATTCTCGATTTTGCGTGTAAAAATACGTAGGAACCGGTGTGTATAATATGTGTCGATTCAACAAGAAAATAGCGAAAAATGAGGCCGGAGTTTAACCCCTTTGCCCTCCCATAACTCGCAAACGGTTCCTATATTCATCTTGAAATTTTTTCCCGAGTTTTCTGTTATTATAAGCTTCCACTTAAACCTTGGTTCGATGGTCGAATCGAGTACCGAAAAAGGGGCGAAATTTTGGGAGGCTCTTTCTGCATGAATTAGAAATTGTTCATTTTTTCTTAAAAAAAAAGCCAAAGTTTTCATTTGGTCCCCGCCCCTTCTCTCTGAGAGATAATTATATCATCAATCTACACCATGTGTATCTTTTTACAAATTTTACTAAAATATCTACATTTTATTCACTTCTACCTTACTTCCTCATAGTGATAGACGCCTCAAATTTTCGATGCGATTTACTCGTGATCACATGCTTTTTTTAATCTAATACAGTTATACAACTATCACAGTTATACACCTTAATTTTGTAACCTTTGTTACTGATAAATTTTTCTGAGAAACTTACCAGCATTAAGAATCCGCTGCCCAGGCAAATTAAAATAGTTGAGAAAATCATGATCTACTAAAGATGATTCTCTGCTATTATTCCAGTTCGTTCTTGTCAGTTTTGTTATGAAGAAAGTTCAGCTTTGAAAAGTGTCCTGTCCAAATATCCAGTTGTCCAGGCGTTCATTCTGATAACACATCTCCTATATAAATCTGTGAACACCCAATACGCAAACAGCACTTTTGGTATTGAGTGTGTACGGATTTCTAAGGATAGTAAAAAGTGTAAATTAATAATAGACAGATATCGGGTACCTATCGACTAAAATTTTAAAATAAGTCGTTTCATTTTCATTTTTTTAAATTTTTCTTTGGGCTGAAGATTTCAAGTTAACATTTGAGGGGCTTAGAGACCAAGGCGCATTTAAGTAAGTGCACTTTTTGCTATTTCAGTAGATACATGTTTTAAGTTTCGACATTACATGGCTTCTTATGGTGGAAAGAAAGTGCCAACTGACTTTTTGATGCTTAAAAATTGGAATTCGGGAACGAATTTTTCACAGAATCAGCATTAAGACTAGTTTTACTTGAAATCATTAATATCTCAATTTTTTCGAAAACCGCACCTATACGCCTTGTTCCCCAAGCCCCTCGATTCTTCGATTCTGGTCTACCATGAATTAAAATAAGAGTTTCTAAGATTCACGTATCATTTTCATGGGAAATGAGGGGATCTTTTATACGACAATCTAACTTTGAAAAAATGTCAAACTGTTTTTGAGGAGAAAAATATTTTAATGTCGTAAGTACATTTTGTCAAAAACTAACGAAGATTAGAAAAAGGTTCTGTCCTGTCCCGTGTACTTTCATGCGAAGGAGGTTCAGGTCTGTGTGATAGAGTGACAGTTGTACAAGGTGAGGGAAGGGTAGAAAGGGTTCAAAAACCAACATAAGTTAGGTAAGCAGAGGAGATAGGGAGTCACGGATTTGATGTCACAGTATTAACAGAAACGAAGAAGAAAGGACAAGGCTCTGTAAGTGTAAAGGAATACGATTTGTTTTATAGTGGCGTGGAAAAAGATCAGCGAGCTCAGCAGGGTGTTGCAATTCTTATTCGCAAGAGCCTACGGAAGTGCATCACTACATGGGAAGCTATTAACCCCCGAATGATAAAGATGAATATGGCAGTGTTTGGCCATAAAATCACCATTTTGGGAGTGTATGGAGTCAACGATGATTCCACTGTCGCAGTGAAGGACCAATTTTTCGAAGAATTGAACGAGGAAATTGGTAAGATTGGATCCAGGAGGGAAATCATTGTGTTGGGAGATCTCAATGGTAGAATAGGACGTCAAATTAAAAGTAAGATCGTCGGCCCTTTCGGAGAGGCGGCACTAAATGATAACGGAGCCCGTATCATTGACGTATGTGAGCAAAGGGACATGAAGGTGCTCAATGGGTTCTACCAACACAAGGATATCCATAAATTTACTTGGGTTCAGTCTACTCGCGGATTGAAATCAATCATTGATTATGTGGTTGTCAGACAAGACACGGGAATGAAGATTCAGCAAGTTAGAGTGTGGAGAGGTCTTTCCTGCGGCAGTGATCATTATTTCCTCGGGGCNACCTAAAGGGGGAGGGGGGGGGGGGGTGGTTCATGATGAAAGGAAATTAGCACATATTTAAATGGATAATATGACTTACCCTCGCGGTAAATCTACCAAAAAAGAGAAGCCGTTTCATCTTGGACCGCAACGATTCATGGCGCGGCCAAGCCGAGCCTCACCGCGTAGTAGCCGCCGTTGGTTCGGACCGCATAGCGCTCCGGGGGCGGACCCCCTAGTGAATTCATAAGCATTTTTAGCATGGAAATTTTATGCTCTTTCATTCCGGTGAGAACTTTTTTTTGCCTCAAACTCGCCGTTTTTTTTTTAGATAATTACAGATTTTGTTGAAAAAACGCGATTTCTCGCAAGATTGGACTTTCCTAGCCGCAGGAAACTACCGCCGTATCTCACGAACCAGAAGTCGAAATTTGATAAATGTATAGTGTTTCTAATAGGAAATTTCATGATCTTTTTAAAAGGTTCCTTGACGTTTTTCCGTAGAATTAATATATTTCAAGATATAAGCAAAAAACCGGTCGCCGGCGGCGTATTTTGCCCCCCCCCCCTTTTTCAAGATGGCGGCCTTAGCGGTCAGCCGATTTCGGTAAACTTTTGATATGTTGTTCTGGTAGCCTAATGCAACATGTTTCCGCAAAAAAAAAAACCTTCTATATATAGATTTTCCCAGAAAAATGCTGGATTGACTGGACTAATATTTAGGTGCAGTTTTTGCTATTTCGAGAAATACGTGTTTGAAATTTCGACATCACATGGCTCCATATGATGGAAAACAAGTTCAAACTGACTTTTTGATGCCAAAAATTGGAATTAGGGAACGAATTTTTCACAGATTCAGCATTAAGACTAGTTTTACTTGAAATCATTAATATCTCAATTTTTTCAAAACCTGCTTTTATGCGCCTTGTCCTCTATGCCCCTCAATTCTGGGGCATCATGAATGAAAATAAGAGGTTCTGAGATTCACGCATCATTTTCATGGGGACTGACGGTATCTTTCATATGGCACCATTCAACAATGTAACTTTGAAAAAATTAAGACATTTTTTGGGGAGAAACATATTCTGATGTCACAAATCGGCGAAAAATAGGAAAGGGGTTTTGTCCTGTGTACTTTAGTAATGCGAAGGAGGTTCAGGTCTGTGTGACAGGTGTACAAGGCGGGGGGAGGGGTAGAAAGAGATCAAAAACCAAGCTAAGTAGAGAAAGATGTACTTGAAAATTCTCTGGAGGGAGGAATTAACGTTTTTTCTAACCTGCGAAACATTTTGTCCTTGCGAGCAAGAAATGCTAGAATGGTACCACTATGAAACACGCGTGACTTCTTAAATGAAGGTCCCAATGGACAATTCCTCCGTCGTGGAAATACTGAAAAACAGGGCTAACGATTCTTGAACCCTTAGTGATTCGTGTAATTTTTTCACCTCACGCTTTTACTCCAGAGGCTTCGAGCTGTTAGCAGTCAGTCGTCGATAATCGATTTTTTTCTTGTAGACTATTCAAAAATAGTCAGAAGAACGCTTTAATTGCCTCGAATGTAAAGAAATCGATTGATCCGGACTTTCAATTCTATGATAAGGTTGATTAAATGACGTAAGTTCAAAAACAAATGATAAAATGTTGTCCCGAAAATGAAATGAGTTCATCAAACGAACACCCAGTTGTAACTGGGCGTTCCTTGCATCTCATTATACGTAGTCTCATTCTAATTGAAATAGGAGACCAAAAAAAGGATGAGGGGGTGGCAAGAATCGATCTTGCTTTCAACAGTGGTCCTGAGGCAAAGAAAAAATGCGACAAAAATGTACCCAAAAACGGTTTCCAGGGAGTGAGTCTATGGTACGTGTAGACTTGAAATTGCAAAAAAATCAAAATCTTGGCTGATTCTAATTTCGAGATACATATAGCAATTTGAATTTTCCTAGTAAATGCAACTTTTCTACTGATTTTGATCCGCCTTTTCATTTATTTGTCCACTGAATCGAGTGTTAATAGGTTCACGTTTTTATTTTATCTTGTTACATACATACAATCATACTCTTTTTTTTAACTAAATGATTCGCCTTCTGCTGCTTCTGCAGCAATTGTTGTTACAAATATGTTGTGCGTGCTGATATTTGCTCATTACATACTCGACTCTCTGAAGGCGTTTTACGAGTGCAAGTAGCGCAATCTCTCTGAGAACGAACGAAGTAGGGATTGAGCGATTCGTCCAATCTCACTTCTGTTTTTCACCAACAGAGTGCTCTTCTTTCGCACATAAAACGCCTTCAGAAAGTCTAGTATGTAATAAGCTGAGATCAGCACGCACAACATATTTACAACAACAATTGCTGCGTGCGCAGGTGAAGGCGAATTAAAAACAGCCCTGTAATACAAATTATAAAACATTACAAACTACAAAAATAAAATAGTCGCGCTACAAATTTTCATTCTTGGCTGGATTTTATCTAGGATTCAATCAACAAGTCTACTTCAGAAAGAAAACCGAGAGCTAAAAATTCAGATACAACACGAAAGAAAGACTTGTTGGTGGGGGAGAGGGGGCGAGGGGAGGTTTGATGGGTGTTTTCGTAATTCGCTTCAGATATTATGAAAATGCTAATATGCTTGGAAGTGACCTGCTGAGTCCGATTCTATTATTGAAAAAGCTCCACAAGTCCGCTGGTTTCCGTGATTGGCGGAAATGTGCATGCGGTGAATTTTTTCCGAACGGTCAAAAACATCGATTTTGACCGTTTCTCCGGCCAGGTAGTGTTTCGGAGTCTTGGGACCATGCGCGATCAAATACACACATCTAACAACGTAGGTTTCGACACTAATCTCGAGAAAAATTTGCACCTTTAAAATCGAGAAAAATCGACAGGGACGAGTTTTTTAGGGTCATAAATGGAAAGTTCGCTAATCGCGCTGAAACTAAGCTAATCTGCTTGGAAATGACCTGCTGAGTCCGATTTTCTGGTCCGAAAAGCTCCACGAATCCGCTAGTTCCTGTGATTGGCGGAAAATGTGTAATTCGGTCAGTAGCGTGGCGTGAATTGCGATGTATCGATTGTTATGTAATTTAAACCTATGGTAAAGAATCGATTATTAAGGTGTTCGCTGTAAACACCCTGTTTATCGATCCTTTCCCATAAGTTTAAATGGCGCAACAATCAATAAATCGCAATTCACGCCACGCCACTGAATTCGGTGAACTATTATATCTCCGAACGGTCAAAAACACTCGTTTTTGACCGTTTCTCGGGTCAGGCAGCGTTTCGGAGTCTTGGGACCGTGCGCAATCGATTCTACGCCTCTAACTACGTGGGATTCGACATTAATCTCGAGAAAAATTGCATCGTCCAAAATCGAGAGAAATCGACATGGACTAACTTTTTCGGGTCAAAATCGAAAGTTTGCCGATTGCGCTGAAACCAAGCTAATCTGCTTGGAAATGACCTGCTGAGTCCGATTTTCTGGTCCGAAAAGCTCTACGGATTATTGGATCTTAGACGGCATTCGGATGTTCAATGTCCATATTGCGTTTTCCTTAAATACGACTGATTAGTAGGGCATCCCTCAAGAGCCGCGTTTTTATAGCGT